ACTCTCACCTGCTGGTCTCTGGCCTTCCCAGGTCTCTGCCCGCCCTCCCTCCCTCGCCTGCCCCGCCCTGCATTCCTTGCGTCGAGGGGCGGCAGCGCGCCGCTCCTCACTCCTCCTCGTTCCCTCCCACAGAGGCTCCACTGCAGACTCTCCACCTGGACGTGTGGGGCCCAGCCCGTGTCCAGGGGCAGGGCCGCGAGCGGTACTTCCTGCTGGTCGTCGACGACTACACGCGTTACACCACAGTCTTCCCCTTGCGCAGCAAGGGTCAGGTCCCTGATGTTCTGATCCCCTGGATCCGCGCTGTTCGTCTCCAGCTCCGCGAGCGGTTCCGGTCGGACTTTCCTGTCCTGCGTCTGCACTCTGACAGAGGTGGTGAGTTCACCTCCGACCTCTTGCGAGCTTTCTGTGAGGAGCACGGCATCCGCCAGTCGTTCACGCTTCCGGCCTCTCCGCAGCAGAATGGGGTTGCTGAGCGCTGCATTGGCTTAGTCATGGAGGTCGCTCGTACCTCCATGATCCATGCGGCTGCCCCCCATTTTGTGTGGCCGTTTGCGGTCCGGTACGCCGCGCATCAGCTCAACCTCTGGCCCCGTGTCTCCTTGCCGGAGACCTCGCCCACACTGCGGTGGACGGGGGAGGTTGGCGATGCGTCGCATTTCCGGGTCTGGGGTGCTCGTGCCTTTGTCCGCGATACCACCACGGACAAGCTCTCCGCTCGCGCCATTCCCTGTGTCTTCCTTGGTTTTCCTCCTGACGCGCCTGGCTGGCAGTTTTACGACCCCGCTTCGCGCCGTGTCTTTGCGTCTCAGGACGTCACCTTCGACGAGTCGGTCCCCTTCTACCGTCTCTTTCCCTACCGCACTGCCGCTCGCCCCCTCCCACCCTCCGCTCTTTCTCGCTCGAGGTCCTCCCCAGGTAGACCCCCTCCCCGCGCCAGGTCCTGCTCCTTCAGGTGTTTCTCAGGTAGACCCTCCTGTGCCTGAGCCTGTTGAGGTCACTGGTGACTCAGGTCCTGCTGGGGGTGCTCTGGGTGTTGCGTCTGAGGGTGCTGAGCCTGAGCGTGCGGAGCCTAGGGGTGCTGAGCCTGGGGGTGCTGAGTCTGGGGGTGCTGAGCCTGAGCGTGTGGGGCCTGGAGGTACTGGGCCTGAGCGTGAGGAGCCTGGGGGTGCTGAGTCTGGAGGTGCTGAGCCTGAGCGTGAGGAGACTGGAGGTGCTACGCCTGGGGGTGTTGCGTCTGGGGGTGCTGAGCCTGGGGGTGCTGAGCCTGAGCGTGAGGAGCCTGGGGGTGCTGAGTCTGGGGGTGCGGCGCCTGAGGGTACTGAGACTGCTTGTGCGCGGTCTCCTTGGAGTGGCCGCCTTCGTCCACGTCCGCCTCTCTCCCCGCAGCAGCTGCACGAGTGGTACGCTCGCCGTCAGGGTCGCGCTGCTGGAGCTCGGAACTCTGCCGCTGGAGGCACTTCTGCTGACGTCCCTGGTGCTGGGGGTGCCGGTTCAGGGGGTGCTGGGGCTGGAGGTGCTGCGTCTGGGGGTGCTACTGCTGGAGACCCTGGGACTGGAGGTGCCGGTTCTAGGGGTGCTGCTGCTGGAGACACTGGGTCTGGAGCTGCCGGTTCTGGAGGTGCTACTGCTGGTGACGCTGGTGCTGGCGGTGCTGGCGCTGGAGGTTCTGCGGCTGCTAGTGGTGCTGGCGCTCGAGGAGCTGGAGCTGGAGGGTCTGGAGCTGCTGGAGGTTCTGGAGCTGCTGGAGGCACTGGAGCTGCTGGTGCTGGTGACACTGCTGCGCAGCGGCTGTTCTTCTCTCCGCCGTCGCCGTCATCTTTGCCGCCTCCTGACACAGTGCTTCGCCAGGTTCTTAGCCTGCCGTCTTCCACTGGCCTACCGTTACAGCCAGGCTCCCCTCTGCCTGCTCCCTCTCCTTACACTGAGCAGCCAGGAGGTCTTACTGAGCGTCGCGAGCCTGCGTCCCGTCCTGTCTCGCCTGTTCGCACTGGTCGCACTGGTCGCACAAGTCGTGTCAGTCGTGAGTGTCCTCCTCCTGTCCCTGGCACGCACATTATGGCACTTCGTCCTTCCTCTGTTCCACAGCGTGTTCCTCTGCCGTCTCCTCCTGCGTCTTCTTTGCCTGACGTTCCGGACCCTGAGTCTGACCTGGTTCGTGCTGCGCACCCTACTGTCACGCGTCTGCTAGCCACTGTTGTCACTGACCCGTCGTTTGAGTCTGCTGCTGCGTCTACCTTAGTCGCTGAGCTTGTTGACTTTGCTGCTGCCTGTCATCTAGACTACGCTGCTAGCCTTGTTGCTGAGTCTGAGTCTGTCTGTCCTCCATCCGTCGGGGGTGAGTGTGCTCTTGGCACGGACGTCCTTGAGGACAGGCACGAGGACCTTGAGTGTCTTGCAGCCGCTGCGCCTCATCTCATGGCCAAGCTGTTTACCCCTGAGGGAGACCCGGATGCTCTAGACATCCCGACCCCGCGCTCTTACGCTGAGGCGATCGCGGGTCCGTACTCCTCTCAGTGGCAGGCAGCCATGGACGCAAAGATGGCATCCTGGAAGTCCACAGGCACTTACGTCGATGAGGTTCCCCCTCCCGGGGCGAACATCGTCGATGGCATGTAGATTTTCAAGGTGAAGCGGCCGCCGGGTTCTCCGCCTGTCTTCAAGGCTCGTTACGTCGCACGAGGCTTCAGTCAACGACAGGGAGTTGACTTCTTCCAGACCTTCTCCCCTACCCCGAAGATGACCACTCTTCGGGTGCTGCTGCACGTTGCCGCTCAGCGTGACTACGAGCTTCACTCTCTTGACTTCAGCACAGCCTTCTTACAGGGCAGCCTGCACGAGAGATCTAGCTGCGCCGCCCATCTGGCTTCACTGGGTCGTTCCCTCCTGGTACTCAGTGGAGCCTCCGGCGGCCAGTCTACGGTCTCCGCCAGGTGCCTCGTGAGTGGCACGGCACACTGAGGACGACACTTGCGGCTCTTGGGTTTGCTCCTTCGACTGCTGACCCGTCGCTGTTTTTGCGCACCGACACTTCGCTGCCGCCGTTCTACATCCTCGTGTACGTCGACGACTTGGTCTTTGCCACTTCTGACACTGAGGCTCTCGCCCTGGTGAAGTTGGAGCTGCAGAAGAGACACACGTGCACAGATCTGGGTGAGCTGCGCAGCTACCTTGGCTTGCAGATCACCCGGGACAGAGCACGCCGCACCATCACACTGTCTCAGTCACACATGGTGCAGCAGGTCCTTCAGCGCTTCGGCTTCACCTGGTCCTCCCCACAGTCCACTCCTCTGGCCATAGGTCACTCGCTCTCAGCTCCACCTTCGGACGAGTCCGTAGAGCCGAGTGGTCCTTACCCAGAGCTAGTGGGCTGCCTCATGTACCTGATGACCTGCACTCGACCTAACCTTGCATACCCTCTTGGCCTTCTGGCTCGCTACGTGGCTCCTGGTAGGCACCGAAAGGTGCACTGGGAAGCTGCGAAGAGGGTACTGCGCTACCTGTGCAGTACATCGGGCATGGGGCTCATGCTTGGAGGACGGGGTGACGTTGTCCTCACTGGACACTCTGACGCGTCTTGGGTTGACGACCAGGCTACGCAGCGGTCGTCACAGGGTTACACCTTCAGTCTTGGCTCTGGCTCTGTTTCTTGGCGGTCTACACGCTCGTCTTCTATTCTCAGCTCCAGTTGTGAGGCTGAGATCTACGCCACAGCCATGGCTGCACAGGAGTTACGATGGCTCACCTACCTGCTGACTGACCTGGGAGAGCGGCCTCGTTCTCCTCCAGTTCTGTACGTTGACAACAAGGCGGCCATTGCCTTGTGTGAGGAGCACAGACTGGAGCACAGAACGAAGCACATCGCTCTACGTTACTTTCTGGCTCGAGAGTTGCAGCAGCGAGGTCAGCTTCGTCTTGCTTACGTGGCCACGCGGGCCAACACCGCTGATATATTCACCAAGGCACTTCCGTCTAGTGATCATCAGCGTTTCTATACCTTGTTAGGCCTTGTACCTATGTTTCCACACTTTTTGTAGGTTTTGCTTATACTGTGAGCTATATACATATACCTGCATGCTTGCTCTTGCTAGGTGGTGATCACTGTGCTGTTCCTGTTGCATATATACCTCTGCATGTGAACTGGCCTTGTGGCCCTTTGCTTGTGCTCAGTGTGTGTGGTGACGTTGTGATCAGGGCTGATTTTATCAGGGTAATTACCCTGATTTCAGGGTGATTACAGGCTTGTCACTTGAGGGCCATTTCAGAATTTCTGACTTGTAAACTCTGATCCATTCAGATAAGGACTTTAGCGAACCCTGAGATCTTGAATCCATGCTCAGAGTAGTGTTCTTACTGACTCTGTCAATGTAGAATACGCATCCTGTTGACCCTGAATGAGAGGGTATCGGGACGAAGGTTCCTGGAAATTTCCTTCCGATATCCCCCTTCGGATTGATCGTGGTACAGCCAGCGCGTGAGCGACGCACAGCAGCATGTCTAACATGTCAGTACACTTAATATATGATATTTTCACGCATTACGAATAGGTCGTTGTACTGTCGTAATTGCGCGTGCGTGAATTTACCAGACATTTTTAGTATTTCGCACAGCGATGCTGGCGACATTCGGGTACTTGGCGAATTAAAAACTTGGCACATCTGTGGTATCGAATCGAAATGTTTGGTTGACCGAAATCGCTCGTCTCTTCCCCGCGCTAAAACGTGTGGATAAATACTGTTTTGTAAAACTAAAAGGGTAAAAATTAGCGCGCACAAGGTGTGCGCGAAACACAGAGCGCAGACTTGACGCAAAGCGAGACTTTTTCCCCGGTAAAAAAGGGTGCGTTAACTCTGATCTTCGATTTTCGACCCTGAACAATCAGAGTTACATACTTTTCAACCATGAGCAGTCAGGTAGCATTATACTAAAAATCAGAGGCTTGGAGCTGTATTGACTTGCTACTGAAGTGGATAGCGCCTCTTGCTGCAAGAAGACAATGTTTAGTTGAGGTTGGGCGGCTGGAGGACCAACGTCACCCCATGCGCAGCAATATTATCCGTCAGCCCAGCATTTGGCACGCTCAGCGGTGACACAAACCTTGTCGGCGGAACCGACTGGAAATACACTTCGTCCGGCTTAAGAGTCTTGTTTACCGGCAGGTTCTGGTTGAAAGTCGGGAAGAGCGTGAGAGGAGCGGCGTCCAGGAGCTGCTGCGTGGTGTAACGGCCCTTAAGAATGTGGTAACGGAGCAGCCGGCACTTCTGCTTGAGGGTGAGGGTGTCCCACTGGGTTTCGTAGCGCCAGTAGCCAACATTGGTGGGGATGAGGATGGTTGCATCCTGATCGATGAACAGCCGCTCCGACTCCACTAAAGGGAGAAATGGAGAGGAAGGAAGAGGGGAGGCGGAGAATTAGAGTGGAAGGGATGAGAGCATTTAGACACCGGGTGAGGTGGCACCAGTGGGTCATAATCGTGGGGATGTCGGTGAGGATGAGGATGAGTGGGAGGGTGGAGGTTAGGAGGAGTGGGAAGTGGCATGAGAGCAATCGGACATTGAGTGAGACAGAACTAGCGGTCGTCTTTGGTTGGAATGAAAAAGAACACATTCTGGTCAACGAACAGCCGCCCCAATTGGACTGAAAATCGGCACAGAGCGGTTCAGAACAGTTCAGAGTAAGCCATGAGAGCACTTCAACACTGAGAGAGGCAGAGCCAGTGGTCGTCGCTGGCGGGGATGAGAAGGGTTGCTTCCTGCATCCTGAATGACCAGCCGCACGAATTGGACTGGAAATAGGTATAAAGCAGTTCAGAACGGTTAATAACTTACAGTAGCTGGTGAAGATCTGGCCAAAGGAGGAAAGGAACGTCTGATTCGCCACCTGCTGGATGATCGATGCCATCTGCGCCTCCCAGTCGGGCTCCCCGGGGGGGGCTTGCGCGGCTGTGTCTTCAGTCGGCTCAAAATCATCCTGCACAAGCTGCGACGCCCAGTCGGATTGCGCCTTTGCGAAGTTCGCCCCGCTTGCGCTCAGCAGGCACGCCACCAGCAGCGCCGCGATACCGCTGCTCGTGAAAACAGCATTTCGCACGCGGATGGCCGTTTCTTCCTCGAGGGTAAGAAAGCGAAATCGCACACGAGTTTCCTCAAAAAGTGGAGACAGGAGCTCCTGCTGCAAGAGGAACCGCTCTTCCTAACGAATGACTCGCTGAGAAGTTGTAATTGACGCTGCTCACAGTCGTCGATTTTATACCCTCCAACGGGCCCGACATGCGGGCCTCAGGGCAGCGCGCAACAATTCGACTCGTTGAGCTCTCGCGCCGCATCACTCGTGCGTCCGCCCACGTCGCTGCCATCTATCTGATTGTATCCTGTCGTGCAGGCGCGCGCCCGTATCGGGTCGAGATTCGAGGGGGTATGGAAGCATTTTCGAAACGATGTGTTGGCGGTAACAAAAAAACAGTTGGTGAGTGTTCGCGGAGCTGCGGCGCAACTTGCGAGTTTCCACGCAGAGGAGCGGAGGAGCGCAACGAGGCGGAGATGGCTCTAGTTTACAGCTGACGGTTAATGAGCGAGATTCGGCAGCGAGGTGACGGTTGTTGAATGGGCTTGCAGCGCACAGTTGCGTGATTAGTACAGCGACAGTTGCGGGAGTTGACCTGGCGTGGTAGTCTCTATATGTACTAGTAGTACACTAGCGGGGTAGTACTACACCTTTCCCTATATGATTCCACACCTGCAGCGGGACCTGACCGTCGCCGCAATGACATCGGCGATCCCAGCTGCAGCGGAGAAGTTGCCTCACGATACGTGGTATTCTAAGCCTAGGAGACGCGGCCACGATGATAGGGTTGTGTAAACAAGACAGGGAGAGGAGGTTGTGTGGGAATGTGTGACTGAGGGGTACGTAGGTAGGGAGACAAACGTGAAGGGTATTGCGGCATGGGGCGAGGGCGGATTTGGGTGACGAGGCTAGCTGGGCTTTTGTGGGTGACGACGAGGCAAAGACTGAAGGCGAAATGCCGATTGAATTCGGTAACAGCAAGTGCCGGTTCGTCTTCCACATTCGTGTATATTTACACTGCTACAACGTTTCATACGTTCATAAATTACACTAAAATGTGACGTCCATGCTTTGTGTTACAAGTGCAATTGACTGAACGTACTAGAATTGCACTATCGTAACAGAAGTGTTAGAATAAGGACCTTTGGATATGATAGGTCTGCTGGAGTTGATAGCGGATGTTTTGAATAGTGGTAGGAACCTCATTGTGTTACGAACAGTAAATTGAGAGGCTGTACTGTGCATTCCTGCTTGTAGCAAGAAAGGAAAATACAGAAGAGAGTACGAAGACGAAGGGTCGAAGCGACACAAACGGTTGGAGAGGCACCTGGACTGTCTGAGCAGACGACATCGGGCAGCTAAAGGAGCGAGAAAAAAGGTGGGAACGGTTTCATAACTGTACGCGCCGCACGGTTGGGTTTGAATTTGAATAAGGGAATGTACCCCTGCTTTACAGTATGGCTAGCTAGAAAGTTTGGCATTCCCCTTGTACTCAGATTTATACGATTTTATTTGCATGCTTTCAGAGCGTGTTCCTACGGCCTCATATCAGGCAACCTCGTATCAGATTCGCGTAGAACCGCACTAAATCGCACCCAACCGCAGTCTAACACGCTCTTATTTCACCACGCGAAGCTGATACGAGGTGTGTCTGATACGAGGTGTAGGAACACGCTCTTATTATCTTTGTCATTTTACATTCACTCAGATCTGAGGTCAAGGGCCTGTGAAGATAGTAACTAGAACAAGGAGCCATAGCTAGGGTTTACCTAGCTAGGCAAGAGAGAAATGAGCAAAGGAGGATGTTCACTAGCAAGCAGGAGGATACATATAGCAAACCCTAACTGGGTTGTACCCGCTATAGAGCACCCCACTACAGGCTAGATAATAACATTCTGACACACCCCCATAGCCAAAGTGGGGTGTAATCAGCACAATGAGCAGGTAGAGCAGGAGTTCACAATAATAAGCAAAGCTAGAGGTAATCACAGCGGGCAAGTGAGGAGGAGGAGGAACTGTGGAAGGAGAGAAGATGGGAGGCAACGACTGAAGCTGCAGAGGCACGGGCACAGGAGCGGCTGACTCAGTGGCTACCGAAGCAAGGGCGACGGACTACTGGAGTGACTGGCTCCGCGGCTAAGACGAGCGGCAGGAGCAACGGACCCACTGGCGACTGGTGCAACAGGCTCACTGGCTACCGAAGCAAGGGCGACGGACTACAGGCGCTGCAGGCGACACGACAGCTACCTCCACACAACCTCCTCCAACTGACCCACACCCTTGACACACACCCCCTGCTGAACCCCTAGCTCCACTCCCACGGCACCCCCTTAGCACCACTCCCTAGGCTCCTACACACCCACCCCCCTCAACGACAGCTGCAGCAGAAGGAGACGGAGGAGGAGGAGGAGCAGGGAACGGCACACCAGGCACCCCCAGAACCGCCACCCCCGCACTCGCCACCCCCAAACCCTAAAACGGGTGGCACGGGGCAGGAGCGCGGGGGACGGCGCGGGGGACGGCGCGCGGCCCCCAGGGCGCCACGACAGGGCAGCGGGGGGGGCCGCGCGCGGCTCCCCAGGGCGCCGCGACGGGGCAGCGGGGGGCCGCGCGCGGCTCCCAAGGGCGACGCGACGGGGCAGCGGAAGCCGCGCGCGGCTCCCCAGGGCGCCGTGACGGGATTGCGGGGGGCCGTGCGCGGCTCCCCAAGGCGCCACGACGGGGCAGCGGGGGGCCGCGAGCGGCTCGCCAGGGCGACGCGATGGGGCGACGGGGGGGGCCGCGCGTTGGTTGTCGGGGCGACGCGACGGGCTCCAGGGGGCGGCGCGACCGTCGACGGGGGGGGGGGGGGGGGGGGGAACGCGCGGGTCCCCGGGGTGACGCGCGAAGAATGAAGCCGCCACGCGCCTCGGGGCGCACGGCGGGCAGAAAACCGCCATGCGCCCCGAGCGCGTGGCGGGAAGAAAAAAAGAATCGCGCGCCACGGGGCGCGCGATAGACAGGAAAGCAGCGGAAGCACGTGGGGCCCACAGGCCAAGAGCGTAACAGCTCTGATTCCATGTGAAGATAGTAACTAGAACAAGGAGCCATAGCTAGGGTTTACCTAGCTAGGCAAGAGAGAAATGAGCAAAGGAGGATGTTCACTAGCAAGCAGGAGGATACATATAGCAAACCCTAACTGGGTTGTACCCGCTATAGAGCACCCCACTACAGGCTAGATAATAACATTCTGACAGGGCCCACCATTACCACACACTCTGTGTGAACCTTCCAGGAGTAAACCTGGTTGCGATCTACCTTCTAATTGCAACATGGTATGAGAGCGACTCGGGAATCCTTCGCAACGCCACCACCGAAATCTTCGGCGAACTGAAAGTGGCGCTCGGCATACGCTCGCGCGTAAGAATGGCCAAAGGATCTGGAGGTTAGACAAATCTGACCATTGAAACGAAAACCAACCCAGCTGCAACAAACGAGGAGACGGGGATAAGCACCGCTGCCCTCACACAACTACTTCAACGAATCTCAAGGACTCCAGACATTGCGGAATGGTGACGCGGGAACATCTTCCCAACCTTCCTAACCAGCCCGAAACGGCCGCGATACCTGTTAGAATCTAGAAGCAGGAATGAATGCATTGAATGAGAGTTGGGTACAAGTATCTAACCCTAAAGGGGTTGTACCCCATATTGGCTACCCCACTACAGCCTACACAAATATAGCATGCATATAGTTTGACAAACCCCCATAGGCAAAGTGGGGGAGAACAAGGGGTCACAAGACCAGTCAAGAAAAGCAAAGCAAGCTCACGGTGGATCACAACGTCACCACACACACTAAGCACAAGCAAAGAGCCACAAGGCCAGTTCACATGCAGAGACATATATGCAACAACAACAGTACAGTGATCACTACCTAGCAAGAGCAAACATGCAGGCATATATATATATAGATCACAGTACAAGCAGAGTCTACAGCAAGTGTGGAAACGTAGGCACAAGGCCCAACAAAGTACAAAAGCGCTGATGGTCACCAGACGGAAGTGCCTTGGTGAATATATCAGCAGTGTTGGCCTGAGTGGCCACGTAAGCAAGACGAAGCTGACCACGCTGCTGCAGCTCTCGAGCCAGGAAGTAACGCAGAGCGATGTGCTTCGTTCTGTGCTCCAGTCTGTGCTCCTGACACAAGGCAATGGCGGCCTTGTTGTCGACGTACAGAACTGGAGGAGACAGAGGCCTCTCTCCCAAGTCAGTCAGCAGGTAGGTAAGCCAGCGTAACTCCTGTGCAGCCATGGCTGTGGTGTAGATCTCAGCCTCACAACTAGAGCCGAGAACAGAAGAAGAGCGAGTAGACCGCCAAGAAACAGAGCCAGAGCCAAGGCTGAAGGTGTAACCCTGTGACGACCGCTGCGTAGCCTGGTCGTCAACCCAAGAAGCGTCTGAGTGCCCAGTGAGGACAACTAGACTCCGCCCTCCAAGCGCGAGCCCCATGCCCGATGTATTGCACAAGTAGCGCAGTACCCTCTTTGCAGCATCCATGTGCACCTTTCGGTGCCGACCAGGAGCCACGTAGCGAGCAAGAAGGCCAAGAGGGTACGCAAGGTCAGGACGAGTGCAGGTCATCAGGTACATGAGGCAGCCCACTAGCTCTGGGTAAGGACCACTCGGCTCTACGGACTCGTCCGAAGGTGGAGCTGAGAGCGAGTGACCTGTAGCCAGAGGAGTGGACTGTGGCGAGGACCAGGTGAAGCCGAAGCGCTGAAGGACATGCTGCACCATGTGTGACTGAGTCAGTGTGATGGTGCGGCGTGCTCGGTCCCGGGTGATCTGCAAGCCAAGGTAACTGCGCAGCTCACCCAGATCTGTGCACGTGTGTCTCTTCTGCAGCTCCGACTTCACCAGGGCGAGAGCCTCAGTGTCAGCAGTGGCAAAGACAAAGTCGTCGACGTACACGAGGATGTAGAATGGCGGCAGCGAAGTGTCGGTGCGCAGAAACAACGACGGGTCAGCTGTCGAAGGAGCAAACCCAAGTGCCGCAAGCGTCGTCCTCAGTGTGTCGTGCCACTCACGCGGTGCCTAGCCGAGACCGCAGACTGGCCGCCGGAGGCTCCACTGGGTACCAGGAGGGAACGTCCCAGTGAAGCCAGGTGGGCGGCGCAGCCAGATCTCCTCGTGCAGGCTACCCTGTAAGAAGGCTGTGCTAAAGTCCAGAGAGTGAAGCTCGTAGTCACGCTGAGCGGCAACGTGCAGCAGCACCCGAAGAGTAGTCATCTTCGGGGTGGGGGAGAAGGTCTGGAAGAAGTCAACTCCCTCTCGCTGACTGAAGCCTCGTGCAACGTAACGAGCCTTGAAGACAGGCGGAGAACCCGACGGCCGCTTCACCCTGAAAATCCACATGCCATCGACGATGTTCGCCCCAGGAGGGGGAACCTCGTCGACGTAAGTGCCTGTGGACTTCCAGGATGCCATCTCTGCGTCCATGGCTGTCTGCCACTGAGAGGAGTAGGGACTCGCGATCGCCTCAGCGTAAGAGCGCGAGGTCGGGATGTCTGGTGCATCCGGGTCTCCCTCAGGGGCAAGCAGCATGGCCACGAGATGAGGCGCAGTGGCCGCAAGACACTCAAGGTCCTCCTGTCTGTCCTTAAGGACGTCCGTGCCAAGAGCACACTCACCCCCGACGGACGGAGGGCAGACAGACTCAGACTCA